ATGTTGAGTTTGACGCACAGGGCTTCAGTTGCTTCACATTCCAGTAAGTAATACAATAATGGCTTTTCTGCCTCTATTCCACATATTTGACCGCTTTAAGTATTGGGTTTAATACCTCTTAGCAGCACTTATAGGCAAGTCTGAGTCTGTGTAGGGCTACTACAATGTCTCTCGAAAAGGTTTTGCCAGGCTTGAAAGAGGAATACCCAGTGAGCTGTTAGTACCACATCGCAGTGGGTCTCTCTTCTGCTACTTTGGCTCTGTGGCTACGTTTGATAGTTGGGAGTATTTTATTCTTGATTTGCTCCTTAATCTGCGAGAAACTTGGAGGAATTTTAACCAGTACAACAGGTAGAGCAGTGGCAGTTTTTGCTAGTGTGTCTGCCTTTACATTACCGTCTATGTCAGTGTGACTTGGTATCCAATTTAGGGTGATTGACAGTCCTAGATTGTGTGCTTCTTTTCCTATATGTAGGATTTCAGTAATGAGTTTTATATTAGCCTGGAGCGAAGATTTAGAGTCAGAATTAATGATGAAAACTGTAAATTATTCTGAATTGAAAAATTAGTGGCCTCTTTCAGGGCATATAATTATGTTTGCAATGTTGAGCACCCACTATTCAGGCTCCAGTAAGCTTCATGCTTGTTAGTGTAAACTGCTGCCTCAGCAAAACCTCTTTCTTGATCAACTGATCCGTCTGTGAAGATGTGAGTCGTTGTCGGTCTTGAGATGCTTTCCATTTGTTGCTATATTATTGCCTAGAGCCTCTGCGAGTCACAAGCTGATTTTCTAACTGGTAATCCTTCAGTGATTATCTTTAGACTCGATTCTTCCCGTGGAGGAGGCGGCCGAAAGTGTTGATATGATCTATCTTCTCCTTTGTCTCTAGTGGTACATTGCAAGTCCATTTTCTATAGAATCTTGACCAGATTATCCGTCCATGCACTTGTTCTATAATGAAGGCTTCTGCGAAGCGATCTGTGTATGCTATATCTGATTGATAGTCAGGCGGTGGTTCCAAATAGTTTGGCTGTTATTATGGCTTTTCTTTGTTTGATCGTGTTTTCTAAGGCTCGTAAGTTGGTGTCTATTCTTAGTTCCAGTCACGCAACCTTGACGACGTTCTTCTTCTATACTTGGAGTTCGGACGTTCTTGGAGCGCCGCAGCGCGTAGGTGAGACTATGAAAGGTTTAACTGTTAAAAATCTGTGGATAACGCCTACGTTTCATAAATAAATAGCATTGACTCAGGGAGTATGACACAGCTCGTTATTCCTATGCCTACGAAGCCTAGCATGGACGTGTATATGTGACAAAATTAAGATAAACTTAAAACTTTTCAAAATATAATTATACTCGTCTTCAGCTAATTCAGTGCTCAGCCAATATTGTTCTTCCATATATTAGTCCTAGTCCATGCGTCCTCAGTGTTTGGGTCCTCGGTGTATGGGTCATCAGTGTACAGATCTTCAGTGCAACTGCCCTCAGTGAATTGGTTCTCAGTATATGGGTCCTCACTGTGTGGGTCATCAGTGTATAAGCCCTCAGTGTATGGGTCCTCAGTGTACAAATCTTCAGCGTATGGGACTTCAGTGTAACGGCCTTTAGTCTATGGGTTCTCAGTGTGTGGGTCCTCAGTGTATGGGTTCTCAGTGTATAGGACCTCAGTGTATGGGACCTCAGTGTGTGGATCCTCAGTGAATGGGTTCTCAGTGTATAGGTCCTCAATGTAAGGTCCTCAATGTATGGGTCCTCAGTGTATAGATTTTCAGTGTATTGGTCCTCAGAGTATGGGTCCTCAGTGAATGGGTCCTCAGTTTATGGATCCTCAGTGTATGGGTCCTCAGTATATGGTTCCTCAGTGTATATGTCATCGGTTTATGGGTCCTCAGTGTATGGGTTCACCACGTATGGGACCTCAATGTATAAGTCCTCAGTGTATGGGTCCTCATTGTATAGGTAATCATGGCATGGGTCCTCAGTGTATGGGTCCACAGTATCTGGATCCTCATTAAATGAGTCCTCAGTGCATGGGTCCTCAGTGTATAAGTCCTACGTATGGGCTGCAGGGCATAGATCCTCAGGGCATGGGACCTCAGTGTATGGGTCCACAGTATCTGGATCCTCATTGAATGGGTCCTCAGTGGATGGGCCCTCAGTGTATGGGTCCTCAGTGCATGGGTCCTCAGTGTATAGGTCCTCCATATGGGCCGCAGGGCATAGATTCTCCGGGCATGGGTCCTCAGTGTATGGGTTCTCAAAGTATGAGTCATCAGTGCGAGGGTCCTCAGAGGATGGGTCCTCTGGTCATAGGTCCTCAGGGCATTGGTTCTCAGTGTATGTGACCTTAGTGAGTGGGCCCTCAATACATGGGTCTTAAGGGCATGGGTCCTCACTGTATGAGTCTTCAATATATGGGTCCTCAGTGTATCGGCTCTCAGTGTATGGGTCTTCAGTGGATAGCTCCTTTGGGCATTGGTTCTCAGGGTATGGGCCATCAGGGCATGGGTCCTCTGGGCATGGGTCCTGAGGGCATAGGCCCTCAGGGCATGGGTCCTCAGTGTATGGGTCATCAGTGATTGGGTCATCATTGTTTGGGTCCTCAGTGTATGGGTCCTCATTGTATGGGTTATCTGTGCATGGGTCCTCAGTGTATGGGTCCCTCAGTGTATGGGTCCTCAGTGCGTGGGTTCTCAGGGCATGGGTCCTAAGTGCGTGGATCATTAGTGCATGGGTCCTCAGGGCATGGGTCCTCAGGGTTTGACTGCTCATGGCATGGATCCTATGGGTATGGGCCTTCTGGGCATGGGTCTTAAGGGCATTGATCTTCAGGGCATTGCTCTTCAGAACATGGGTACTCAGGGCATGGGTCCTAAGTGCGTGGGTCCACAGTGCATGGGTAATCAGGGTATGGGTCCTCAGGACATTGGTTTTAAAGGCATGGGTCCTCAGGGCATGGGTATTCAGTGCGTGGGTCCTCAGGACATGGGCCCTTCAGGGCATGGGATCTCAGTGCATTGGTTCTTAGGGCATTGGTCCTCGAGGCAAAGGTCCTCAGGGCATGGGTCCTCAGTGTATGGTTCCTCGATGCATGGGTTCCAAGTCTATAGTTCCTCAGAGCATGGGCCCTTAAGGAATAGGTCCTCAGAGCATGGGTCCTAAGTGCGTGGGTCGTCAGGGGATGGCTTCTCAGGGTTATGGGTCCTCAGTGCGTGGGCCCACAGGACATGGGTCGTCAGGGCTTTGTTTTTCAGGGCATGGCTGCTTAGAGCATGGGTCCTCAGGGCATGGGTCTTCAGTGCATGGATCCTCAGGACATGGGCCCTCAGGGCATGGGTCTTCAGTGCATTGGTTCTCAGGACATTGGTCCTCAAGGCAATGGTCCTCAGGGCGTGGGTCCTCAGTGTATGGGTCCTCAGTGAATAGGTCCTCAGTGCATGGGGTCCTCAGTGTATGGGTCCTCAGTGCATGGGTCCTCAGGGCATTGATTATCAGGGCATGAGTCTTCAGGGCGTAGGTCCTCAGGGCAAGGGGTCCTCAGGGCATGGGTCCTTAGTGTATGGGTCCTCAGAACTTTGGTTCTCAGGACATGGGTCTTCAGGGCATGAGTCCTCAGGGCATGGATCCTCAGGGCATGGGTCCTCAGAACTTTGGTTCTCAGGACATGGGTCTTCAGGGCATGGGTCCTCGGGGCATGGGTCATAAGGGTATGGGTCCTCAGTGCATTGGTTTTCAGGGCATAGATGTTCAGGGCATGGATCCTCAGTGCATGGATCTTCAGTTCGTGGGTTCTCAGGACATGGGTTTTCAGGGCATGGGTCCTCAGTGCATTGGTTCTCAAGGCATTTGTCATTTGTCCTCAGGGCATAGGTCTGCAGGGCATGGGTCCTCAGTAAATGGGTCCTCAGTAAATGGGTCCTCAGTAAATGGGTCCTCAGAGTATGGGTCCTCAGTGAGTGGGTCCTCAGTGCGTGGGTCATAAGTGTATGGTTCTTCAGAGTTTGGGCCCGCAGGACATGGTCCTGAGGGCATGTGTCCTCAGAGTATTGGTTCCCAGTGCGTTTGTCGTCAGTGTATAGGTTCTCAGAGCGTGGGTCCTCAGGACATGGGTTCTCTGGGTATGGGTCCACAGTGTATGGGCCCTCTGGGCATGGGTTCTCAGGGCATTGCACCTTAGTGTACGGGTTTTCAGTGTATTGTTCCTCAGTGTATGGGTCCTCAGTGAGTGTGTCCTCAAGTGCAAGGGTCTTCAGGGCATTGGTTCTCAGGGCATAAGTTCTCACGGCATGGGTCCTCAGGGTATGGGTCCTATAGGTATGGGTCCTAAGTGCATGGTCCTCAGTGTATGGGTCCTCAGTGTATGGTTCCCCAGTGTATGGGTCCTCAGTGTATGGGTCCTCAGTGTCCGAGTCCTCAGTGAATGGTTCCTCAGTGTATGAGTCCTCAGTGTATGGGTTCTCAGTGCATGGGTCCTCAGGACATGGGTCTTCAGGGCATGGGTCCTATGCGTATGGGTCCTAAGTGTATGGGTCCTCACTTTATGGGTCCTCAGTGTATGGTTCCTCAGTGTATGGGTCCTCAGTGTATGGGTCTTCAGGCCATGGGTTCTATGGGCATTGGTCCTAAGGGCATAGGTCCTCAAGGCATCGGTCCTCATTGTATAGGTCCTCACGACATGTACCTCAGGGAATGGGTCCTCAGGGCATGGGTCCTTAGGGCTTCTCAAGGTTTTGATCATCAGTGTACGGGACTTCAGCGTGTGGGTCCTGAATGAATGTATCCTCAGTGTATAAGTATTTATAGCATGGGTTGTCAGTGTATAGGTCCTCAGTGTATGGGTCCTCAGTGCTCGGATCCTGAATTTATGTGTCCTCAATGTATGGGTCCTTAGTGAGTGGGTCCTCTGTGCATGGGCCCTCAGGGCATTGGTACTCAGGGCATGGGTCCTCAGGGCATAGGTCCTCAGTGAATGGGTCATCAGTGTATGGGTTCTCAGTGCATGGGTCCTCAGTGTATGGGTCCTCAATGCGTGGGTGCTCAGGTCATGAGTCCTCAGTGTGTGGGTCATCAGTGTATGGGTCCTCAGTGTATGGGTCCTCAGTGTATGGGTCAATACTGCGTGGGTTTTCAGGGCAAGGATCCTCAGTGTATAAGTCCACTGTGTATGGGTTCTCAGTGTATGAGTCCTCAGTGCATGGGTCCTCAGTTCGTGGGTCCTCAGGGCATGGGTTCTGAGGTCATGAGTCCTCAGTGTGTGGGTGCTCAGTGTATGGGTCCTCATTGTACAAATCTTCTGTGCATGGGTCCTCAGTGTATGAGTCCTCAGTGTATGGGTCCTCAGTGTATAAGTCCATATTGCGTGGGTTTTCAGGGCAAGAATCCTGAGTGTATAAGTTCACTGTGTATGGATTCTCAGTGTATGAGTCCTCAGTGTATGGGTCCTCAGGGCATGGGTCCTCAGGGCATATGTCCTCAGGACATGGGTCCACGGAGCATGGGTCCTCAGGGCATGGGTTCTCAGGGCATAGGTCCTCAGTGCATGAGTCCTCAGGACATGGGTCCTCAGGGCATTGGTTTTAAATGTCTGGGTCGTCAGGGCATGGGCCCTCGGGGCATGGGTCCTCGGGGCATGGATCCTCAGTGTGTAGGTCTTCAGGATATGGGCCCTCAGAGCATCGGTCCTAAGGGCATGGGTCCTATAGGTATGGGTCCTCTGTGTATGGGTCCTCAGTGTATGGGTTCTCAGTGCGTGTTGTCCTCAGGGCATGGGTCCTATGCGTATGGGTCCTTACTTTATGGCTCCTCAATGTATGGGTCCTCAGTGAATGGGTTCTCAGTGCGTGGATCCTCAGCGCATGGGTAGTCAGGGCATGGGTAGTCAGGGCATGGGTCCTCAGTGTATGGGTCCACAGGCTATGGGCGTGTGGGTCTTATCCTCAGTGTATGGGTCCTTAGTGAGTGGGTCTTCAGTGCATGGTTCCTCAGGACATTGGTTCTCAAGGCATAGGTCCTCAGAGGATGGGTCCTCAGTGCATGGGTCCTCAGTGTATGTGTCCTCAGTGTAATGGTTCTCAGTGTATGGGTCCTCAGTGTATGGGTCCTCAGTGCGTGCGTCCTCAAGGCATGGGTTCTCAGTGTGTGGGTCCTCAGGACATGGGTCCTCAGGGCTTGGGTCCTCAGGGAATTGGTTCTCAGGTCATGAGTCCTCAGTGTGTGGGTGCTCAGTGTATTGGTCCTCATTGTACAAATCTTCCGTGTATGGGTCCTCAGTGTATGGGTCCTCAGTGTATGGGTTCTCAGTGAATGGGTCCTCAATATATGGTTCCTCAGTGTATGGGTCCTCAGGGTATGGATCCACAGGGCATGGCTCCTCAGGGCATGGTTCCTTAGGGCATGGGTCCTCAGTGCGTGGGTCCTCAGGTCGTGGATCATCAAGGCATTGGTTTTATAAGTCCTCAGTGCATGAGTCCACGGAGCATGGTTCCTCGGGGCATGGGTTCTCAGAGCATAGGTCCTCAGTGCATGAGTCCGGAGGACATGGGTCCTCAGGCACTGATTTTCAGTGCATGGGTCCTCAGTGCATTGTTTCTCAGGGGATTAATTCTCAGGGCATAGGTCCTCAGTGTATGGGTCCTCAGTGAATGGGTCCTCAGTGAATGGGTCCTCATTGTACAAATCTTCAGTGTATGGGCCCTCAGTGTATGGGTCCCCTATGTATGGGTCCTTAGTGTATGGGCTCTTAATGTATGGGTCCTCAGTGTATGGTCCTAAATGAGTGGGTCCTCAGAGCATGGGCCCTCAGGACATTGGTTTTCAGGGTACTGGTCCTCAGTGCACGGGACCTAAGGGCATGGATCCTCAGAGCAAAAGTCCTCAGTGTATGGGTTTTCAGTGCATGGATCCTCAGTGCATGGATCGTCAGGGCAATGGTTCTAATGGCACAGGTCCTAAAGGCATGGGGTCGTCAGTGCATGGGTCGTCAGTGTTTGGGTCCTCAGGGTATGGGTCGTCAGTGTATGGGCCCTCAGGTTATGGGTCCTCAGTGTATGGGACCTTAATGAATGGATCCTCAGTGTATGCACCCTTAATAAACGGGTCCTCAATATATGGGTCCTCAGTGTATGAGTCTTCAGTGTATGGGCTCTCAGGACATGGGTCCTCAGGTCATGGGTCCTCAGTGTATGGGCCCTCAGTGTATTGGTCCTCAGGTCATGGATCCTCAGTGCATGGGTCCTCATTGTATGGGTCCTCAGGTCATGGGTCCTCAGTGTATGGGCCCTTAGTGTATGGGTCCTAATTAAGTGAATGGGTTCTCAGTGTATGGGTAATGAGCGTATGGGTCCTCAGTGAATAGGTCCTCAGTGCGTAGGTCCTCAGGGCATGGATCCTCAAGGCATCGGTCCGCAGGGCATGTATCCTCAGTGCGTGGGTCCTCAGAGCATGGATCCTCAGGGTATTGGTTTTCAAGGCATGGGTCCTCAGGGCCTGGGTCCTCAGGGCCTGGTTCCTCAGTGCATGGATCTTCATTACTTGGGTCCTCGTGGTATGGGTCCTCAGGGCATAGGTCTTTCAGAGCATGGGTCCTCAGTTTAAGAGTCTTCATTGTATGGGTCCTCAGTGCATGGGTTCTCAGTGTATTAGTCTTCAGTGCAATGGTCCTCAGTATATGGGTCCTCAGCTTATAGGCCCTCAGGGCATGGGTACTCAGTGAATTGGGTCCTCAGTGAATTTGGTCCTCAGTGTATGGGTCCTCAGTGTATGGGTTCTCAGTGCATTTGTCCTTAGTGTATTGGCCCTCAGTGTATGGGTTCACAGTGTATAGGTCCTCAGTCCGTGGCTCCATAGGTCATTGGTCCTCAGGGCATGGCTCCTTAGGGAATGGGTCCTCAGTGCGTGGGTCCTCAGGTCATGGATCATCAGGGCATTGGTTTTCAGGGCTTGGGTCCTCAGGGCATGGATCCTCAGTGCATGGATCCTCAGGGTATAGGTTCTCAGGGCAGTTTTTTCAGGGTATAGTTACTTAGTGTGTGGGTCCTCAGGGCATGGGTCCTCAGGGCATTGGTTTTCAGGCATGGGTCCTCAGTGCATTGGTCCTCACTGAATGGGCTCTAAGTTTATGGGTCCTCAATGTATGGGTCCTCAGTGTATATGTGATGCTGAACCCCTCTCCAAGATCAAGAGGCATACAGGGTGATCTCCTAAGTAAATTTAAAGCACTCCAGAGTTCATTGTTGTTTGACCGATGGTAGCGGGAGTGAGGTTGCCAAGGTCGGTTGTTTGTTCCGACAGAGAGTAGTTGGGGACGTTGTCTGTACGCAAGTAACAGTCTGGTGCAACAATCAGAGCTTTCATTGGAGGTTTAAGTTCCATAAGCCCTAACCTTTCAAGCTAGAACAATTGATACTCATGTCATGGGTTCTCAGTGTATGGGTTCTCAGTGCATGGATCCTCAGTGTATGGGTCCTCATTGAATGGATCCTCAGGGCATGGGTCCTCAGGTCATGGGTCCTCAGGTCATGGGTCCTCAGTGTATGGGTCCTCAGTGTATGGGTCCTCATTGAATGGATCCTCAGGGTATGGGCCCTCATGGCATGGGTTCTCAGTGTATGGGTCCTCAGTGCATGGATCCTCAGTGTATGGGTCCTCATTGAATGGATCCTCAGGGTATGGGCCCTCATGGCATGGGTCCTCAGGTCATGGGTCCTCAGTGTATGGGTCCTCAGTGTATGGGTCCTCAGTGTATGGGTCCTCAGTGTGTGTGTCCTCAGTGCGTGGGTCCTCAGTGTGTGGGTCCTCAGGGCATGGATTCTCGGGGCTTGGGTCTTAAGGGCATGGGTCCTCAGGGCATTAGTCCTCAGGACATTAGTTTTCAGGGTGTGGGTCCTCATGGCATGGGTCCTCAGTGCATTGGTTCTCATGGCATTGGTCCTCAGTGTATGGATCCTCATGGCCTTGATTCTTATTGCATGGGTCCTCAGGGCATGGGTCCTCAGTGAATGGGTCCTCGAGGCATAGGTCCTCAATGTATGAGTCCTCAGGCCATGGACCATCAAGGTATGGGTCCTCAGGACATGGGTCCTCAAGGCGTGGGTCCTCAGTGTATGCATCCTCAGTGTATGAAACCTCAGGCGATGGATCCTCAAGGCATGGGTCCTCAGGGCATAGGTTCTCAGGGCATAGGTGCTCAGGGCATAGGTCCGTAGGGCCTGCTTTCTCAGGGCATGGGTTCTCAGTGTATAAGTCCTCAGGACATGGGTCCTCAGGGCATAGAATCTCAAGGCATGAGTAGCGAGAGAGGAACGCTATAAAAGGGATGGCAGTAGATCTATCTCAATTCGCAACTTTAAGTGCAACAACGATGAAGAGCTGGAGGGGTCGGGAGTGATGATGTGAATACCAGAGGTCAAGATTCACCAAGCACATTTAAGAGCTCCTCTTACCTTCGACGTGAAAATTAATATTGCATTACCCAGTTTGCGAGCTCCTGAGCTCCTCTCAAGCCAAGAGTATTATTTTATTATGATAGTGATTTGGAGCACATGAGATGTGTTATAAGTGCAGATAAAATTGTTAGATGGGGGGAAATAGGGACAACTCTACTGGAGCCCTTGGATTATGGGTCAGGAGCTAAAGTTCGGGCAATGCACCTAGGTAAGAACAGCCACGAATGTACTAAACCAGGTACCTGGAAATTCTCGCTTGCACCTCTGCATAATTACACAGGTAAAGACCCTCACCTGCACTCCAAGTGGAGTTATTAAGCTTAGGTAAAGTAAATACTGGCACACATCAAGCTTTGAATCAGAATTTAAATTTTCATTACCATCAATTAATTTTTCTACAACGTTCTCATTAATCGCCATAAATAATTCACGCCCGAGCGTACTATCTTCTAAAACTCCCATTTCCTTTCCTGAAATCCCGTCAGAATTGCATTGCAAATTTCGTAAGAATTTAAAACTTTTTCGAGAATTCAAAGCCTCGAGAATATTTATGAAGGTCGCAAAAGACTGCTGCTGAACGCGACACATCAAATATGCGAGACAAGAGAAGAATCTAGTTAAGGCTTTTTCCCCTAACATCGCCGAAGTGTGAGGTGTTCAGTCATCCAGTGTGAGGCCCCAGAAGGAACCGTGTGTGGTGTTCAGTCATCCGGTGTGAGGCCCCAGAAGGACCGTGTGTGGTGTTCAGTCACCCAGTGTGAGGCCCCAGAAGGAACCGTGTGAGGTGTTCAGTCACCCAGTGTGAGGCCCCAGAAGGAACAGTGTGAGGTGTTCAGTCATCCAGTGTGAGGCCCCAGAAGGACCGTGTGTGGTGTTCAGTCACCCAGTGTGAGGCCCCAGAAGGAACCGTGTGAGGTGTTCAGTCACCCAGTGTGAGGCCCCAGAAGGAACCGTGTGAGGTGTTCAGTCACCCAGTGTGAGGCCCCAGAAGGACCGTGTGTGGTGTTCAGTCACCCAGTGTGAGGCCCCAGAAGGAACCGTGTGAGGTGTTCAGTCATCCGGTGTGAGGCCCCAGAAGGACCGTGTGTGGTGTTCAGTCACCCAGTGTGAGGCCCCAGAAGGAACCGTGTGAGGTGTTCAGTCATCCAGTGTGAGGCCCCAGAAGGACCGTGTGTGGTGTTCAGTCATCCAGTGTGAGGCCCCAGAATGAACCGTGTGAGGTGTTCAGTCATCCAGTGTGAGGCCCCAGAAGGACCGTGTGTGGTGTTCAGTCACCCAGTGTGAGGGCCCCAGAAGCAACCGTGTGAGGTGTTCAGTCATCCAGTGTGAGGCCCCAGAAGGAACCGTGTGTGGTGTTCAGTCATCCAGTGTGAGGCCCCAGAAGGACCGTGTGTGGTGTTCAGTCATCCGGTGTGAGGCC